GCTTTTGTATTAATGAAACACTAAATGAAATTAGTTGTTAGCGCTAATCAGACGAAATATTGAGTGCAATGATCATGTTAAACTGAGATAACTCGGTATACGTTACACTTTTGTAAGGGAGGGGCCTATTGAAACAGGTGACAGTGAGCAGAGCGCGCTGTTTGAACTAAAAAGGCTACTTCTGCATAATACTGCACGCGTGACGCGTAACTGGGATTTTTGTGTAGCCTATAAATCTTATCAAACCGGGCCAATGTTAGCTGAATGCAGAAAAGTTAACTTCGTTTTAATGTACCATGAATCCAATGCAATACAGAGAATTTATATTGAATTTTATACTCCATGGTTATAGACCATTTCACAAGATGTAAACAACACTGGTCCAGAAGCACTTCCTGTTTCAGTTTGTAACTGTTTTCTTTATTTCACATGTAAAGAAAACATCTTAAAGATGTTTGTTTAACATTTTGTATCAGTTTTAAATGTTCTGTTGGTTGTCTTTTATCCCAGCTTTTATGTAGTGTTAAAAAACTGAAACAGGAAGTGCTTCTGGACCAGTGTTGTTCACATCTTGTGAAATGGTCTATACTAAAGAAACGTTAGTCACAAAAACAGATAAAACAGACACCCCTTGTTGTGTTTATGCTTCTTTTTAAAATTATATTAAATAAACATAACTGTATATAAAATTACATCTAAACATACGTGCGTTTCGTTTCAAAGACGGGAGGACAGTAAATTTTGAAGACTCTGCCTTAGTCCCATTTTCCTCGGTTTTCCTCCGCTTTAATCTCCACAACCGGATATGGACGAGCATCCTTGCGTCAAATGCGGAACTTATGCGTGCATATAGCCCGTAGCCACACATGTGTATCACTAAATTTGAGAGAGTTCAGTGATTTTCTGAACTAAAACTGACGCTTCATCTTTTGTGTGAAGTAAAATAAACTTTATTAAATTCAACAGTATATGTTTGAACATCATTCGGACCTGGTCCAAAACAGCAGACTTGGTGGCTATTTATAAATAATGGATACATACAGGCAGATGGCAAATACGTTATAATAACTGTAATTAAACTACAAAACTATACCTGTTCCATCTTTATAGAGCACTCTGACTCTCATTATTGTCTGACTCGAAATGAACAATAAATACTAATGTAAACTTGATTTGTCTATTGTACCCACTTAAGATTCTATGACCTGTTTAGTTTCACCCTGTGTAAAAACAAAAATGGTTTAGTGGAACAGGTTTCCATGCAATTTTCTAGTAAAGTCAACTAATTTGGGTTAAGAGTGTGATATCTTCATGGTATCTCACCTTCTTTTTTTCACCCCCGCTGAATGATTTACTTTTATGACATGTGACAGGCCATTTTCATTTTCTCACCTCATAAGCATCACTTTATGTTATGTGATGTCACTTTACGTTACACTGTACATATTAACCGTTAAGCTTTCAAGCATGAGGTCACCTCTGAGAAGAGAAATGAAGACATGATAGCACTCATCTAGATGAGAATATTTATCTAGTGTCGCTGTCCTCCCTCCGACTTATTCAACGTGCAAAAATCCATTGCAATGGAGCCCCACTGCGGATGACCTTCTGAATGAGAAGTGCTCCCATGCATTGACAATGAATATGCATTAGAGAGATTACAATGAGGTGACAAGGCAGGAGCTCTCATCCAAAAACCAGCACAGCTGGCAGCCAGCTTTCCTGAGCTACTCCTCACCTCTTACATAAGAGCACAGCAAGCTGACAACACACCTCACCATCCGCTCATGCAAACCAAAAGATCTCTGTCGCTGTTCTTGCCTGTCTCACTTTTGATTCGACAAGAGCAGCTGCAAGAACAACTTCCTTGCACAAGGAAGGAATTCATTGTATTAGTGCGTGGGGGAATACAAGCTTCTGTTATTAGCTCATGATGATGTTAAACCAAAGTGTCAAAGTAACAACTATCTTTTATAGCAGGAAAAGCTTCCACCATCTGTCAGACCCTGAAATCCCAGGTGGCTTCATATAGGGATTCAAACCTCTGTTGGTTGCCCTTCACTGTCAAAAAAGCACCTGAGTGGAACATCCCAAAGATGGCCAAGCACTGGACGGTGACATTCGCAAGCCCAAAAACTCATTTGCCCCCCTGTGATCGATTATTGCTGTTTGTTGTATCAAAGATTGCTTCCAAGTGCAAAGTGAGAGGGCCACATTTTACTATTTTGAATAGTAAAAATAAATAAATAAATCCACTCACAGAAGAGTGTTCTTTCTCATGATTCTACTAAAGAAATGTAGCCTACTATTCATAAAGTTGTTCTTTACATTTCAACGAGCTCCTGCTGAAATGTGTATTTGTGTTTTTATGCACACAAACATGGTAGGAAAAGCTGATCTTAATATATTTACACACCATTTCTTGGTTGACAAATTTGATACAAAGGTGTGAGCTAAAAAGCATAAATGCAATATAAAATATGTCATTAAGTCTTTGTTGTTTACTCTTTAATATTTAACATATGTATAACATTCATCAAAAGACTCCAACCAAAAATGCGTTTAAATGGTCACGGCAAAATGTGGGCATCAGATATTTTTAAACACCATACTTGAAAAACAATGTGGGCACCCTGACTCATAAGCAATGCACCAGCTGTGCGAGAGACCTCTGAAACAGTGTGAGTTTGGCAGAGAATGGAGGACAGGCTTAGCTTGGTGAGTACCAGCAAGGATGGGTCCTATCGAAGTCCCTGCAGGACTGAGAACTCGCAGTGGGAGGAATGTCTCAGCTCCATCTGGCCCAGCAACGTGTGTGCCTTCATGCCGAACCGAACCAAGGTCTGCAAAATGTTGGCACAACGTGTGAGGCATTGCATAAGGATAGCATTTGAAAGGAAAGATTCAGCGATATGTCACCATATGTCTGTGGAAATCTGCATGTTCCTCACATATGGAAATGGCATGTAGGTCTGTGATTTTTACTCTTTTCTGTGATGCATGTGTAAATGTTAGCTTGGGAACAAGCCTGTAGTGAGCACAGACATTGCTGCCAAATGTAGCCTAGCAGGCTGTTGTGTGGTGAACACAATCTGACATCTAGTGGACACATTTAAAGCACAAGTGTGAAAGTTAAAACAAAGAGATATAAAATATATAGTAAGCTGAATATTTTATGAATTAATAGCTATACCTTTGAATTTTGTGGATTGGAAAAATAAAAATTTTTGCATCCGTTGTATCTAGTGAATGCAGGTAAAGTGGGTAAATTTATGTTAAACGTGTCATTTAGATTATATGCCATTTTTTTAGCCTACTTTTGTTAACTTTAAGGTCCTGCTATAATATTTTAATTTGAATATAGTTTATATAATGCATTGTTTGCGAGGTATAACAATTAAAACTTAATGAGATCATGCACTCGAGACACGGACACTCTTGTTTTAAGATGTACAATCCCTGATTTATCAAAAAAAAATAATAATCCTGTATCTCAATTTAAAAAAACATGATTTATTAACATTCAATAACATACAAACAAACACATTCAACAACATATTCCTTCCATGTGCAGGTAGATAGCAGGAACGAATTTACTAAATGACAACAATAAGAACATTGACTTTAGGCTTCTCTTTTACAGTTTTTTTATTCGCTTTGGTACTATTTTCACAAGTAAGGTGTACATTTTCAAAACTCTTAGTGCTAATATCACAACAGATCATCAAAAGTGCACTTTTTTCAAACATTTCATCATGTTTTCAACGGTGTTAGTACAATTCACACAATCACAAAGTATCCTTTTCACAACACAAAATAAGTGTTTCATCTACATTATTGTTTCATTCACAGTAACTGCCTTTCATAAAGCTCTTACTATCAAACTTTTGATTTGCATCTCTTTTTGTTCAGTTTAATACTTTTGTCTATTATTTAATCCAACAGATCTTAATGGTTAATCAATTATGTAATCATTTGGTAAACCTGTAGATTTTCATTTCAGCAATATACAGTATATGGATTTTGAGAACTACAGAAATAAAATTTGTGTTTCTATAAATAGGCCTATCAATTACGTAGATATATAAATATATTTAAATTACATGTAACCTAATGTTACAGTAAAACTATGTCTTTTAAAGTACTGTAGCATATTAATTTCAGCACTTCTAAGGCCGATTAGCTAGCTGCGTTACAAGTGTGATCAGTTTGGATTTTTGTACTAAGAGTTTTGAAAATGTACACCTTACTTGTGAAAATAGTACCAAAGCGAATAAAAAAAACTGTATTTTACTCAATGAGAACAACGCGTTTCGCATAGCGTAAGAGTGTTCTTATTATTATAATTTACATTCAACAACATATTTAACAACCCAAAAGCAATCAGTTATTCCTCAATGCATGTGTAGTAGGCTACCTACAATTTAAAACAACTATAACGTAGGTAGGCAGACAGACAGACAGACAGACAGACAGACAGACAGACAGACAGACAGACAGACAGACAGACAGACAGACAGATAGATAGATAGATAGATAGATAGATAGATAGATAGATAGATAGATAGATAGATAGATAGATAGATAGATAGATAGATAGATAGATATTATTCTAATTGTATTATTTATGAAAATCTCTACAAACATAGCCTAACTTGCTAATATGATTATGAAGTCATGAAAATGATTCATGAAGTGAATTAAAACGGATTTGTAGTGTCTATTTTTTTTTTTTTTTGCAATCAGGAGTAGGCCTATCACTTGTTTGATCTGCCTCGCGTTGGCTAGTTTAGACAAAGGCATTAGAAAATTATCGAATTAGACCACGTATAATGCGTAAGGTTGTCCTGGTTCACGTGAAGTTTGTGGCTGTGGTTCAAAACCTAGCAAGTCGCCTACTAAGGCAGCATTCCTTGGTGTCTGCAATCCGCCTGCCGGGTCCACGGTCGTGTCCAAAATTTACGAAGGGAAGCACGAAACAGCCAATGAGATTTGAGACGCAACCATGTGTGTCTTTCGGTGTAACGTTACGGGTGTAGCAAACGAATCCTCGCATAATATACGCTCTCCCACACTCAAAAAAAGTGTTGTTTTTGACGTACGTTTAATGTTGAAACTCGGTAGTGTTGGTGTTTTAAACACACATTGTTACTCGTAAGGTGTTAATTTCTTTGGATCATTGTGGCGGGGGCAACTGAGAGGACGAATATGTCCGGGAAGAGTTTTCGCGTTAGCGACGGAGACTGGATCTGTCCCGATAAAAAGTAAGACTTGATACATAGTGGTTTATTTAAAAAGCTTAATGATGAATATGTTTGCAGTTCTTTAAAGCCTAAACGTGTGCGAAATCAGTGTTGGACGAGAGAAGCCCACATGCTACTGTTAGCATAGCTGCTAGCTAATGTTAGCTTTAGCGCGCGTTTGTAGTGTGTGAATGGGCCTGTAAACTCCATTAAAAGCGTAATTTCCTAAACTCACTTCTGTCCTCTAAAACACTGGTAATCAAGTGCTTTTTAGAGTTGCGCAATTAAAATTATTGGGTAAACATTAACCATTAGCTAGTCAGATGTGTGCGCAAGTCAGCTTACTAACTGCCATTATATCGTCTACATTAGAAAATGCAGTGACATTGGGCTAATTAACTTTTAAATAAATAAATGTATTTTTGTGCACCACTGAAGCGTATATCTTTTGTTTGAAAGTGTCGGTGAGGTAGCTTGTTCATTGTGTGTATGAATGTTGATTGGTGATTATAATAATGTCGTCTTGAGATCTAACTAGTTTTATCTTTGTAACATCTAACGTTAAGGTGTGGAAATGTCAACTTTGCTAGAAGAACGAGCTGTAACAGATGTGGCAGGGGTAAGTAAGTTATACTACCTTGTGTATAGTCATTACGTTTTGTATTTAGATGCGTCACACTGTGAGTATCCATACACCGTGGGGTAGTTCAAAGTTCCAAAAAATTATGTTACCATCATGTTGTTGCACATCCATAAGACTTCTGTTCATCTTCGAAACACAAATTAACTTATTTTAATGAAATATGAGATTTTTCTTCCTACATTTAAAGTCTATTCAGCCTTGTGGTTCAACAAATTCATATAGATTGTGAAAGGAATTCAAATTCAATGTGTATATGGATTATTTAAAGTCTTAAAGGAATAGTTCAATACATATTCTGTCATCATTTACTGACCCTCAAGTTATTTCAAACCTGTATGAATTTCTTTCTTCTGATGTACACAGAAGATATTTTGAAGAATGTCGGTATCCAAACAGTTGTTATATCCCAGTGAATTCCATAGTATTTTCTTCCTTCTATGTAAGTCAACGGGGCCAACAACTGTCTGGTTAACGACATTGTTTAAAATATCATCTTTTTTATTCAGCAGAAGAAATTCATACAGGTTTGAAACAACATAGGGTGTGTTAATGATGACAGAATTTTCATTTAAGTGAACTATTACTGTAATACAAATTCTTTATTTATTTTCTCCTTATAAACGTTTGAACTGTCAAGAGTTTGGAGTGAATGGACTTTAATGGAGGGACGAATTTCTTTGATTTCATTAAACATGTCTTAATTTGTGTTTCGAAAATGAATGAAAGACTTGATTTGACACAAGTGAGTAATAGAATTTTCACTTTTGAGTGAACTATCCCTTTAAAATGATTAGTCTAAACTAATTAGTCAATGCTCTTTAAACAGAAAAGACAACTGAAGCAAAGATGATGAAAGCGGGGGGGACAGAGATTGGAAAGACCCTCGCTGAGAAGAGCAGAGGTCTCTTCAGTGCAAACGACTGGCAGTGCAAAACGTGGGTATTGCTACAATTTACAAATGTCTTAATTATACTTCCAATGTGTACAGTTACAGTATCTCACAAAAGTGAGTATACCCCTCACATTTTAGCAAACATTGTAGTATATCTACTCAAGGGACAATACTATAGAAATGAAACTTGGATATATTTTAGAGTAGTCATTGTGCTGCTTCAATCGCAGCATTTACTGTCCTCTGAAAATAACTCAACACAGCCACAACAAAAATGAATACACTTAAGTGAACATGTCAAAAGTGAGTACACCCTAAGTGATAATAGCTGGACGTCATTTAACCATGCAAAGCCATATGTCCTATTCATCATGTTCACCTTTTGTCGGCTTGACAGGACCATCCAAATTGTTGTATCTTGTATTAGAGCAGTTAAAATTTGTGCTTTTGAGTACAATTCTCTTATTGACCACTGTATGTTCAGCATGGCTACTTATGGCAAAGAACTCTCTAAGGATTCGTGAATTAGAATTGTTGCTCTCCACAAAGTTGACCTAGGCTATAAGAAGATTGGTAACACCCTGAAACTGAGATGCAGTACAGGCCAGTGTCATACTGAGGTTTTCCAAGATGGGTTCCACTCAGAACAGGACTCGCAAGGGGCAATCAAAGAAGTTAAGTCCTCGTGCTGTGCGTCAAGTGCTGAAGTTGGCTTCATAAAAACAGACGCATGAGTGCTGCCAGCATTGCTTTAGAGGTTGCAGAAGGTCAGCTTGTCACTGCTCAGACCATACGCTGCACACAGCAACAAGTCGGTTTGCATGGCCATCAATCTAGAAGGAAGCCTCTTCTGAAGCTGGCTCACAAGAAAGCTCACAAACAGTTTGCTGAAAGCAACCTGTCCAAGAACATGAATTCCTTGAACCGGCTTGTCCTGTGGTCTGATGAGACTAAGATAAACTTGTTTAGCTCAGATTGTGTCCAGAATGTGTTGTGCAGGGTTCCCACGGGTCCTTGAAATCCTTGAAAGTTTGTGAATCAGATTTTTTTTGTTTTCAAGGCCCTGGAAAGTTCTTGAAAATAAATATACATAGATACAGGTCCTTGAAAGTGCTTGAATTCATTTTGTGCAAGAAGTTTTCTGGGAAAAAAATCCATATTATTCTGTAACAATGTATCTTACATATACATAATGTAACCTTGCTCTCTCACTTGAAATGTGTCCCCACATTAAGTCCTTGAATTTGAGGGTATTGGACCTGGAGAGTCCTTGAAAGGTCCTTGAATTTGATGTTAACTAAGGTGTGGGAACCCTGGTTGTGATGCCCTGGTGAGGAGTACCAAGACAATTGTGTTTTGCCTATAGTCAAGCATGGTGGTGGTAGCATCATGGTGTGGGGCTGCATGAGTGCTGCAGGTATTGAGGAGATGCACTTCATTGGATTCCAATATGTACTGTGACATTCTAAAGCAGAACATGATGCCCTCCCTTCAGAAACTGGGCCGAAAGGCATGATGACAACTGCCTTGTTGAGGAAGCTGAAGGTGATGTAGTGGCCAAGTACGTCTCCAGACCTAAAAACTATTGAGCACCTGTGGCTTACCCTCAAGCGGAAGGAGAAGTGCCATGTGTCCAATGTCTAACATCCAGCAGCTTGATGTCATTATGAAGGAGTGGAAGAGGATCCCAGCAACAATCTGTGCAGCTTTATTCAAATTCCATGGACATGAAGATTAAGGCAATGCTAGATGACGATGGTGGTCACAAAATATTGACACTTTGGACACAGTTTTGACATGTTCACTTATAGTGTATTCACTTTTTTTGCCAGCTATTTTGATAATAATGGCTGTGTTGAGTTATTTAACGAGGACAGTATATACTGCTATACAAGCAGCACAATGATTACTCTAAAATATATCCAAGTTTCATTTCTATAGTACTGCACTTGAGTAGATGTACTTGATTGAGATACTGTAAATTAGATGTGATGGTAAAGTAAACCATTAGTTCCAACTCGTTTATATTTTGTTCTATCTGCCTAATGAAGCAGAATATATGTCCACAGTGTAATGATATCCTGTCATGAATTGGGTCAGTTTACTTGAAAATGTAAAAAATTAGTGAACATGTATCCCTCAAAAAAGTTTTTTGTGTAATACTGGTCCGGTTTTATCCAGTTTCTATTTTTAGTATTGAAGGTTTGAATGGACAGTTTGGTACTGAAAGGTCGTTGTTCTGCAGATTTAGCCTCAATCAAACTTAATCAAACACTCCTGTGAAATTCAAACCAAATGCACTCTGGAAACTCATACTTCCGAGTCGAGGGTCATTCATTCAATTTGGATGCAACATGGAAATACCCTAAACAAAATAATTATATTCTTGACAATAAACCCAAACAACTGCATTTTAGTTTAAAATAAAAATAGTATTTTTTTTTGTCACAAAACTTAAATAATTAAATAACTAAAAATAATTATTCGTGGCATCACAACAAAATGTTTTTTACATAAAGCATACTGCGAAAGTTGAGTGATTAACTTTACACCTTCTACACACTTGCTTTCAGCTCACTGGTCTCTATATAGATTAATTACGTAAAATATATATGTATATATTTTACGTTATAGATCAGTGTTTCTGCCATGCTCATAAAAGTCACAAAGACCCTGTTTACACCTGGTATTTAAATGCATTTTGGTCAATCAATCACAAGTGGTCGACCCTAAATACAGGTGTAAAAGTAGTTGAAAACTTTTATAGTGTAAATACTCACATGGTCGAATGTGTTCGAATAGCCACAAAAGACCTCCTCTCTGCCTACTGACCTAATGTGTACTGTAAACATAATGAGAAGTGCGTAGCCAGATGGGATTTAAACTGTCTTCTTAAGACCCAAGTTTTGGTTTGAAGATGAAAAATGTACGCATCTTAATATCAGGTGTAAACAGGGCCAAAGTCTTAGAATTCATGTGTGTGTGTGATTTGGCATGGAATCACACACTCTGCAGGTCAGTGGCCCTCCGGGACCAGCAATCACTGGTTTATATTCCCAAATCCAACCCATATTGGACTATAAGCTATTTGTGTATTTTCAATTCACCAAAGTTATTCATTTCTGAACTTGGTCTTGTGTATTTAAATCTAGGTGTGGCAATGTAAACTGGGCCAGAAGATCAGAGTGCAACATGTGTAACACTCCTAAATATGCCAAACTGGAGGAAAGGACAGGTATGCTTTGTCTGTTCAAAATAGAAGGCTAGTATAATTTTTTGCATATTGATGGAATTTTTGGTTAATGCCATGTGCTTGATGCATGCCTCAACAGGATACGGTGGAGGATTCAACGAGAGAGAGAATTTAGTCTACAATGAGCGAGAGGAGTCTGATGGCGAGTATGATGAGGTCAGTAGGAATTGTTCAGTCTACAGAGATGAGTAGTTCTTTTTATTAATTAAGAACAGATTTATGTCATTTTTCGTCATTTAATTATTTTGTCGGCCTTCTGGACAGTTTGGGCGCATAAAAAAGAAGTATCGTGGGAAAAGTAAGAAGGACACTGAAAAGAAAGAGGAACCAAAAAAAGAAGAGAAAAAAGATGATGTTGACGATGATGAGGAAGACGAAGATGAAGGAGATCTTTCAAAATACAAACTTGATGTAAGTGATTTTTTTTTTTTAATTTTGAAGAATTTTAATAGTTATATTGACCACACTATCAATTTATTTACTTGTAAAAGTACTGCAGTCATACAGATAGGATTTGAATTTCAAATTGTAGTAGGGTGCAGGGTGAACAAATCCTTGTATCTTTAGCATACTGTCGCAGTTTTTGATGTGCTTTTATTTTTTACCCTATTAGGATGATGATGATGACGATGATGAAGAAGATGCCGATTTGTCCAAGTATGATTTGGATGCTAGTGATGAGAAGAAAGGGAGTCCGTCGGGCTCCTCACATTCATCTTCTCGCTCGTCCAGTTCAAGTTCCCGGTCTAGGTCCAGGTAAAAGGGTACAGGTCAAGGGTAACTCCAGGCAAATGTCAGTATCAGCTCAAATCTTTATTCAAATCTTATCATATTAATCTGCTTTAATGTTTAATTTATTTTTCTTTCCTTTTTGCTTCCTTTTAGTATTTGGAAAAATATATATATATTGATATATATATTGTCTTTTTCAACTGCATTTTTGATTCTGACATGATAGTATAAAACTTGATGCTATTTGACAAACAATCATGTAAATTCAATGCTCTGTAATTTTTTAAGTAATTCATGCCATTAACACTACTTAGAAAAGGGTTTAAAGATTAAACAAAATGTTTGATAGTAGATAGTCTGAAGTAGATATTTTTTTCTGAAAAATGTCAATTTTTCATCAGAAAATCAAGGTTTTCATCAGAATGTCTTTAACTTTCAGAAAAATTGGAAATTTGTGGTGTGTTTTTGTTGATGCCCGTGTTTTGCAGATCCCGGTCCAGGAGCTCATCCAGTTCCCGATCTCGCTCTCGCTCCAGGTCCAAATCCAGGTGAATGAGGTCACATGCACTCTCCAGGAGAGAGAGTGCGTGTGTGTGAACAGCCAATGGCTGTAGTGAACTTAAACAGAAGTCGACTATTGATCTCTGTTAATAACATGAGGGAGCAGTGAAATGTAGTTTTTAATCTTTGGGAGTTTTTGCACAGGATTTTTTTTTTAATTTTTGTTCAATTTATCTGATAACACTTTGACATCTGACCAGCAATTATAGCTTCAAGTTGTAAAACTCTTGATGGGTTCTGCTTTGATGGGTTCTTTTGAAAAGTTCAGCTGGTCAGACCTGCAGCTTTGGTCTTTTTTCCGAAGTTTTAGTATTTACTGTAATATTTAGAGGGCTGTGGATGGATGTTTTCTTCATATGTCTGCCCCTTTGGTAGTGTTATTATAGTAATCTGTATAGCGATATTTGTTGACCTCATGTGAATGCTTATTTATCCCCTTTGAAAGATCCAGCTCCAGATCAGGAAAGGGCTCTGCTTCCTCAAAGAAGAAGTCTCGTTCCCCTTCATCATCGCCTGAGGGAGGTCAGAAGAGAAGTCGTTCCAGGTCCTCCTCTGGTGGCCGCAAAAAAAGACGCTCACGATCGCGCTCGTCTGAAAGGTTTGGTGTAACACATGGTGTCCTGGATATCAGGCGTCCTTCTGCATTATACACTGGGCTCAGTGCTAATACAGTACATCATTGAAACACATGTGCTTTTCTCTGTACAAAACTTTGTTCTTTGTTTTGATATCAAGAGATAAATCATTTAATCAGTCATGGTCCTTCTCCTTGTCTCTTTCTTCTATCTCTCTTTAGGCACAGAGACTCATCTGGATCGTCCCACTCTGGCTCAAGCTCAAAACAGAAATGATTAACAAAAGAAACCAATCTTTCTAAAACTGCATGTTGTTTTTTCCTACTCCGGTTTTGTTTTTTGTTTTTTTTTGTTTTTGTTTTTTGTGCTATTGCAACTACCCCACTGTTTGAGTTCACATTGATTTTCATGAACAAAAAGAAACTTGCGCACGTTCACACAACCTCCTCTCAAAAAAAATCTTGTTTTTTTTTTTTTTTTTTTTTACATCTAGCTAAATCTTTCAACAGCATTATTCAAGGTGTTAGATCTATAGCTTAAGTGGGTTTACAGAGAAACAAGTCTGTGACTGTATAAATGGCACACATCTCCTGGACATCAAAATATGTAAATTTATATGGCAGAAGTAGTTTTATCCATTCATTGTCAGACATTACTGTAGTCCAAATAACCAGTTTAACAAAATAATTGTTGATTAAAAAGACACTCATCAGATGCTGGTTTTGTAGATATTTTGTGATTTAAAACACTTCAAGAAATATTGATGGTTTAAACATTAATCACGTCAGCAATGCCAGCATCTGAAAGTTAATAAGTGATTTTCCTCTGATTGTGTGCGTTAAAGGTAAGTATGTTTTTTTTATACTTGTAGAGATTATTTTCTTCTGTTAAGACAGATGAAATGTTCATTTTGTTTGTCCTTTTTTGTCTTAATTTTGAGATTCATCACTTGTTGAATTAAGAAACGTTTTAAAGTGCACAAACTAAAATTACTTCTGTCGTAAATTACTGGTTATGTTTTTTTTCCGTGGTAAAATCAAATTGGGAACATGTAATCTGAAATATTCAACCACCCCCTTCTGACATGAAATATGAAAATGTTTTACTGTTCATTAACATGACTTGACAGTGTAATCAACATGAATAAACACTTGTTAATCTGAATCTCTTGTTTGCAGTCTTTTTTGTTTTTTCCATGTTTATTGTATTGTGAGATGTGATGAGAATTTTTCTCCCCAATGTCTGCCTCCCAAGGGGAGACAAACTCCCAGAGGCTACCACACTGCTACTTACGTGGAATTTTAGTGATGTTTGTGAAATTACACATCAATTTATGCTTTATGTCCTTGTCTATTTTATAGATTTTTTTTATTACGAGTCTGTATGAATTACAGTTTTCGAGCAAAATACGCATACGGTTTGCGCATTATAACGACGAGTTGCTGTGAATCGTTTCTCATGCGCTAGATGGCACTTGTTGTGTTCAAACATCTGAGCTGGTGATGCAGGTGATGAACATTATCGAATAAAACATTTAAGAGTTTATCTGTATCCCCGTTTAGAGATTTGCCTATAACCAAAGTTATTTATTATTATTATTATTATTATTATTGCGATCTTAAAACCTAAGATCTCCTTGAATTTTTTTTCTAAAAAAGTTCACCCACTAAAAAGTCTGTGTAAAATTAATTCGGTCATACAGAAACGAATGTGTTCCATCTGCTTTGGTTGAAGGCCACATTTTCTTTTTTCTGATATAGCAACCCCGACCAACAAAAAAAAAAAAACATTACTGAGTTCTCATTTGGAACTGAGCTACACTTGTAGCTTGTATATGCTATATTAAAACCGTATTGTTGAAATAAATATATTCTTTTTGGAACTTTAACTTCTGTTGTCTTTATCAGCATATTTTACATTTCCATAAGGGTCCCGCCTCTGTGTTTATAGCGCGCGCTCGGACAGCAGAGCGCACAAAGTGAGACGGACTTCACTGAGGACTCTACTTGTTTCAAAGGGCTACTGTGGCCATGAACACGCTCCCTGAAAAAGGATGGCATCCAAATGTCAGTCTTCAGATGTCTTGCCACAAAACCTGACTGCTGGAACCATGACGTGGGTTAAGAACGTCTCCAAATCTTCGCAGGACAGAACGGGCAGCGGCGCCAGCTGTGGCTCAGTGTCCGTGTTTTTCCCCATCGTTATGATGATCACTGGAATAGTCGGAAACTCTCTCGCGATGCTGCTAGTTTCTAGTGCATACAGAAAAAAGGAAAACAAAAGGAAGAAATCCTTTTTGCTTTGCATCGGCTCGTTGGCGTTAACTGATCTTTTCGGTCAACTGCTTACAAGTCCGATTGTCATTTCTGTGTACAGAGCAGATCTGAAATGGAAACGCGTGGACCCATCGGGAACTCTATGCGCCTTCTTTGGGGTGTGCATGACCACTTTTGGCTTGTGTCCTCTCTTTTTAGCCAGTGCCATGGCCATTGAAAGGGCCTTGGCCATCACTGCTCCTCACTGGTACTCACATTACATGAAAACCAGCGTGACCAAGCAGGTTCTGGTCATCATTTGGTGTCTAGTTTTGATCTTTGCCTTATTGCCCATTGCTGGGGTTGGGCAGTACACTTTGCAGTGGCCAGGCTCTTGGTGCTTCATAAGTACAGGTGACAAGGACATAACGGGAAATACGTTTTTTGCCACGACCTTTGCGGCATTGGGGATATTTTCTTTACTTGTTACTTTGTCTTGTAATGTTATGACCATTCATGCATTGGTTACACGTTGCAAAACGAAGCCAAGCTCGACCCAGTCGTCCAAGCAATGGGAAAGGTTAACAACAGAGACTGTTATTCAGTTGATGGGCATTATGTGTGTGCTGTTGACTTGCTGGTCACCTTTACTGGTATGTATCATATCAGCCTTTGCCAGACACACTTACTGTAGGCTAGATATCAGATGAAAGCTTGCAGTGTCATTCCTGCTCAAACTTTAATGTACCCTGCTCCAGAAAGCCTCAACTGATATTGGATAAAACTGAATATATGAATTTCTAGAGTGAACTCCACAGGTATTTACTAGTACTGTACATGTTCACTGTAAAAAAAAAATATGTATGATCAATAAGTTATGACAACATGTTTATACAAGATACAACTCATTTTTAAATTCAGGTTGAGCTGAAATGTCTTACATCCAAGTTGATTGTACTTAAAAATTGAAGATGGCAAACATTTTTTACAATGTTGAGGAGGACTACTTGTTACCAGAATGTTTTTTTAGCATTCATTTGAGATTAGTTACTGTTTACCCTGTGATTTCTATCCAAAAAGAGTAGCTGTTGGTGACATTGCAAAAAATCTGCAAAAGTTTTTCCCAGTTAGCTACACTGTAAAACAAATATTGTTGGTTTAACTTAAAAGGTAAGTAACCTGGTTGCCTTAAAATAAAAGTTGTAATTTTTGTAAAGTTGTATCTGTAACCAGACAGTTTCTGGTCTCATTGACTTCCATAGTAGGAAAAAAATATACTATGGAAGTCAATGAGACCAGAAACTGTCTGGTTACCGATATTCTTCTAAATATCAAAAAATCGGCTTAATACGTTCGAAAATGGTAAAACCCAACTGTTTAACTCTGGGGGAGTGGTAAAATGAGCCTATTTCCAAAAAAAGTGGAGTATCGCTTTAAGTGAGCGTTATTTGAGCAAAGGGTAATTTAAATGTAAAATTAGGGGAATCAGATTACTGCACAAATAAATATCCAATTTTAGTCAATACATATCCAATATCAGCTGATAGTGATTATTATTTAAAAAAAAAAAAGAGACAAATATCCATATCAGCTTTTCCCGGAACTAAGAGTACTGACCTTTTATTACCTAAAACATAAAAAAAATGCCAAAATATTTAATGAACAAACCTGCAGGGGTGTAAAATTTTGTGAATGACCGGCATTCAGAATTACAGAAATCTGCAGAGCAGTCTTTGGAAGTCCATTAGCACAAATCATTTTTCTTAATTTCGAATGAAACAAAAGACATTTTTGTAATCATACATAATATGCCCATTTTGGTGTGTCTCCTTCCATTCTGTAGGTCCTTATGTTGAAGATGATCTCGACCCACACATCCTCCCATCAGTGCGGTTCTGCTGCTGTATCTCTCTCACCCCAGGACTTACAGATGGACTGTAATTTCTTTCTCACAGCCATACGTCTGGCCTCGCTCAATCAGATTCTAGATCCGTGGGTTTACCTGCTCCTGAGGGAGATCCTCCTAAAGAAGTTCTGCCAGGTGGCCAGCGCAGTATCCAATTGCTCACTGAACGTGAAGAAGGAAACCCAGAGTCCTGATGCCCTAAATAAAAAGGCCATTCAGAATGAGAATGTTCACAAACAGTCCCTGAACATGGAGAACAGTAACTTGAATGGGGGTCAAGAGGAACAGTGACAGTTGTGCAAAAACTGAATGGGAATAAAACAAGGAATAAAATGACAAAGGGTATACCCCATGATCAGAAAAATGATGAGGTGGAAACTTTCTGTGGATTGGTGCATTGATGTCATCAGCATTTTACCGCAAACCCATCACTTTTTTGTGTCACCGTCACAGTCAACACATTCATTTTGTTCAGAGTCACTCTGCGACCTTTGAAGTGAAAGAAAATGGCAAGACCTTAAAATAATGACATATGCAGGGTTCCCACTGACATATTGTAAAAAAAAAAAAAATACACAAGTTAAGATGAAATTTCTGAGTGGTGCATTATAATTTAAGTTCAGCTTGTAATTATTTTATAGAAAAAGATATTTCAAATAAAAACAATGAAAACAAATTATTGGGGATCCTGCATATAGAACAGCAATACTGGAAAATTAGATTTAGTTAAAAGCAAAATCGTAAACTGAAGTTTTCCAGTTCCCATGCGACTATATTCAGCACATTATACTTTTACTCACATGCCAAGTGCAAGAAAAAAAATTGAAGGAATGTTTCTTGACGCTAATTTATGATGTTATGTAACTTTGCAGTAAAGTGCTGAATGTTCTCAAATACCTCCTGCTTTGCATATTTTCATTTTGTTGTGTGCATTTCTCAATGCCAAGCCTGCAGGACTCTTTTTGAAGTTGATAGCCATAAACATGTCTATGTTTAATTGAATTCCATGCTTGAATTTTTCAGTTGGATTTCTGAGTGAAGTTATAGAGCGAATGGCTCTAATTCAATAGTGTTGATATGATTCTGGCCTTAGAACAGCTCTAATTTTTTGATGCACAGAGTGCCTCAAGGTGCTGCATCTATTATCCGCAATATTCTTGATAACATCCGTTGTGGTCATAACCAAAAGCCTTTAAAATTCAAGTGGGAAGCAATTTCAACAAATGATGCGGAGTCATTCATGGAAATTGCTTTTCATACCAGTCATTGTAAAGAGGCCATTACAACTTTGGTCTTTCCATATTTTGCATCCTTTTATGTATGTAAGATTTGAGGTCGGTTGACTTTATGAAAGATATTTAATGAGTAGTTTAATGTCACACATGGCTAAAAAAAGATGGCATGCAGTAATTTTTGTTTGTGTAATTTTAATTGAACATGCATAAATTATTGACAAGGATGACTGAAGCTGTTCTTCTAATTGGGCTCTTCAGATTCACATCTGTAGGCTAATCATGCATGAGTGTGACTGAGCATCATCTTAGCATATTATATATTTTCACTGTCCAGTTTGTTATTGTTATAGAAAGGGATCATTAATTATGCTAAACAGCAGGTTATATTCATGGCAAATGCAAATACATTTGTGATGTATTAAACAAATTTAGAAGTAAAAAGGCACATTTTAAGATTCTATTCAAAGATTAATTATGATCTGTAATTTGTTAATTTGTTTTTATTAAGCTCTGCCTTTGTGCCTCAAATTCTTTGAAACCAGCTTAAATCTCCAGGACACTGAAAATGTCTATAGTAATGATCGTACACTATACAGATTAAAAGAAAACGAGCGAGGAAGATGCCACAGCAGTATCTGGGAAAAAGGGAGAGGAAATGTAATTTATTTCATAGAGCTCTGACCTCTATGAAATACATCAATGTAAAGAGGTGGCATGACCAGAAATCACATTTGGAAGATTGCAGGAAATTGCTGGTATTGTGTTTCC